GATTTTATGTCGATTCGACATTTTTCCCGACAAAATCAAATTTGTTTGTCAAGGATAAGTGTTGCAAACCTATTTTCATGTCGAAAATAAGTGTTTTCACGTCGTTTTCGTGTCGGAAATAAGTGTTGCGTTCCCGCTTTTTGTCGGAAAACAAATCGACAAAAGTTTGTCGATTTCGTGTCGATTTTGTCGGTTTTATGTCGATTCGACATTTTTTTCGACAAAGTTCTGTCGATTCGACATTTTTCCGACACCGGCCCGTCCACACAACAAAGTCGATTGGACATCTGTCGATTTAGCATGATTTCAACACGAGCTCGAAAATTCGACAACTCGATCGGTTTTTTGCCAACAATGTTTCGGACAACGATATTTCGAGCAGGATATTCTGTCGATTCCACTTTTTTTGAATTCAAGCTCCGAAATTCCAGGAATCCACAGGATTTCCTGTCGATTCGATATTTTCGCGACACGAAATCCGAAAATTTATGAGTCGATCGGATTTTCTGTCGGCTCCATATTTTTAGGACACCAAGTCTGAAAATCGATACATATATAGGATTTTCTATCGGTTCGACATTTTTAGGATGCGAAATCTGAAAATCAACAATTCTACAGGATGGGTTGTCCATTCGATGATTTCAACATCATTTTTGGCAACCTCAAAGCCAAGAGCGATGGCAAGAAGAATGAGAAGAAGAAAAAGGAGAAGGCAAAGAAGGAAAAGCCCGAGGAGGAGACAAAGCCGCGCTCCTGTAAACGAAAGGAGGAGGCCGCTGTTGAAGCACCAGTGGCAGGCTTCAATCGTTTTGTTCAAGAAGGGCAAGCCCTGAGGCCCTGGGCTTCAGTATTGCTCTATCAGCAATCCTTAAATGTACCTTGAAAACCACAAGATATGCTCAGGGCCGAGCGGCCCCTTTTTGCGGAAACTGATGTCCGTGCGATCAGGCGTTCCAGAAAATGCAACACTTATGGGATTCCCCACGACGCAAACACGTCTTACACCACTTATTTTTACATAGCCGCCAGTCCCCGCGAAAGTTAACAATCCAGGCCAAGGAGGAAAGGCTGAGAAGCCTTATGTAGGCAAAGGGGTCACATTCCGTGCCACTTTCTTCTTGGACCGACATCCCTGCTTTATCTGAGGTAGGGTTTTGCAAGCCTACAGACTGTGAAGCGTTTCGGTGTTGATGGAACTGTTGTATTTGAAAGGACTGAAATGGGAACCCTAGACAGGGCCCCAAGAATATTGGAGGAATACAACTACTGGGAATATCACTATATTCTTGGGGTTCCGTGCTTTGGGGTTCCCATTTTATTCCCGTAACATTGGCCCCATAAACCTATTTAGGGCATTGTAAAGCAAATCCTAACACTCCGAAGCCGAAAGGCCAAAAAGAAGCAAGACCGGGTTCTGCACCCATAGGCTGTACTGCCTTTGCGATAGAGTCCAACCTGAAAGCTGGTAGGATTGGAAATTCTACTACGAATCTTGGTTTAGAATCTTGCTTCTGGCTTGCGTTCTTCAGAATCAAGTCAGGGAGCTGGAACGCAAGTGTGATTGAACGTAGCGGAGTCATTTGTTCACTCCCCGCTTCACCTATTCAAGTGGACATGCGCGAAGGAGCGTACCTTACTTGGGTTTACTACTCGCGGCTTACATCGCCTTACTCCGGCGCCTTCAGCCTCAGAAGCTTTTGAGTGGCAACTAGAAAATGTTCCAGAATCACCCATCTATTTAGATCTGAATAGAAATCTCAAGTCCTTTGGCCAAGGAGATCAATGCTCAGGGGTACAGGAAGTCAATGTTGACCAGGAGATGAAGCAAGGGAGGGGGGTAACTAAGGATAGGGGGGCCGAAGAAGAGACTCCCCTGCTCCAAGTTGTATAGCCTTTAGATTGTTGATTCAACACCATATGTAATTTCGGGTGGTCCTATCGCTTTCGGGGATTCCGTGTTGAATCTGGTACTCCACTGTAATGCTACAAAGTATCAAGATTGAAGTCCGTGCTTTTCCTGGGGGTCCTTTTCGTAGTTCTCTATCTGCGAGTGTTCGCGCAAGCCGCATATCCATGGTTACTACTAAGTTGGGCCTGAGTGGGTTCTTAGTGAGCTTCCCAAGCCCTAAACCCAAGCTCCTCAAGTCCAGCTGAGCCGCGCAGGTTGCCTGAGCTCATCCCCAAACGTCTACCAAGAATAATGGTGGCACTCTTGGGGATTCGGAGGCTTCTGGGACCACCAGCAGATATGAGAGGTCCCTCCAACTTATGATGTAGGGCCTATGTAGGGAGTATTTTGAAAATCTCAAGACGGCAGTCGCGAGGAGGTTTGGGATCCTTTATGCTTGTGGCCAGCTGTTGCCGGATTTGTTTTCGAGTAAACTTCCGCAGCAATTTGCATTGGTATTTTGGTTCTCTTCCCTCTCTTCACGGGAAAACAAGGACGACCACAAGGAGCCCCCTAAGTTTATGAGAATCTCTGAGCCACAGAAGGTGTGTGGAAAAAATAATTATTTCGTAGAAGTTTTGCGCCATTTTCGCAAAGCAGGTTTGCAGAAAAAATGCACCTGATTTAGGGTTGCAAAAATTTTGCACAGCAGGGTTGTAAAAAAAATGCACCGAAAATTCAACTCCAAACAGGACGTTCAAGCGAATGCATGAAGCTTGGTTGCCGTAGGCGCTTGTGTGTACCGGCCTGCTTTCTTGATTGTCCTTGTAAAGCATCAGGGCCGTGTCTGGTAAGCCAAATTGTTGATCCAAGGAGCAGTAGTGTTGCGCAGCAACTCTGCATAAAGGCCCAGCAGCATTGCCCAAAACGCACAGAGTCCAGGTCCAAGGTCCCAACAATGTAATATGACACAGCTATCCAACTACCAAAAAGCCACAGGCAAGTGACAATGCGTGTGGCAGTGGAGCAGCGTAGCAGGCAAAGCAGTCCATTTTGCTTTGTAAAGTCGGTCAACACTGTTGCTCTTGCATTTCAAAGGAACCGTCTGGGGCGTTTCATTGTTTTCATTTGTTGCAACCCTTGAAATTTTTTTGCTTGCTGGAGCTGTGCCCTCTACTTTCATGTCATGTTCATGTGAGTCGCGAAGGCTCAATTGTAGGGGAGCAAAAGCGCTGTTGGTGCGAAGAGCCCCTGCAGAGCAAACTGTTTTTTCTTGATCACACATCCTCACAGCCTCACACCCTCATTGTGTTCTCAGACGTGCAGACAGAACATTCAACCTTGGGCCAAAACTTAAGGCTTAGGACCCAGGACGTAGCCGACGTAGCAGCTTAGCAGGCTGTGCTTCAACATTGCTGAGCAACTTTGGAGCTGTAAGCCACAGACCCTGTAGGCATGCGAATCAATAAGTTTTTAAGTACACGAAAAGCTAAAGCTTGAAGACCTTGCAAAGCATTACATGAAGTTGGCAGCAGAGGTGTATGGCTTCAACGCTTCATTCATCGGTGGTTATGGTAGTGACATAGTGGCAGCGTGTCCTCGCCGCATCGGTCAAGTCAAGCTTGCGTTTAGCAGATTTGGCGTGGCTTGAGTCTAGAGCGTAGCCAGTGGTCACTAGGCCTAAATGTGGTCATGTGTTTCTACTCCTAATTAAGTCCAAAGCACGGATTCTTGGCGCCGCCATGGGGTCTGAGTGGGATGATGTGCTTGGCCAAGAGCTTGAAGAAACCAGGGGTTTCGAGCATGAGGTAGAATCCTGTGAAGCTAACCGCACTCCTAGTTCGTGTGGAGTTGGTGCTGATCCATCAGAAGAGTTGCGCCCGCAAAAACCTGCAGTATGGTGGGCGGTCATTTTGAAGGCAGCAGGCACCGATCTTGGCCTTGAGGGGGATGATGGCATTTCGACAAGTCAGTCGCCGAAGATCCACATCGTCTCTGGTTGCACGGGGTGTGGCGCAGAGGCCTTTGTGCTGAAGGCGGGCTCATGGTCCTGACAGGGTTTTCGGTGCAGCTCATTGCCTGTGTCGCGGGTGGAGTCGTGTAGTGTAGGGTAGAGTGTAGAGTAGAGGTAGAGGTAGAGTCGGGTAGAGTCGGGTAGTTCAGTAGAGTAGAGATCATCTGCGTCCATTGCAGTGGAAGGTTGGTTCCTGAGGGCTGTTAGGGAGGGCTTGGCTCCATGTTAAAACGGATTTCCTCATCGTGCGCAGTCCCAACCCTTAATGCCGACACTAAATCATTAAATCTAAGCCAAGCTCTAAGCGTGACTTTTTGCCTGTGCAGTGCATGGAGAGCGCGTGTTCACAGGGTCTGTCAAACACGTTCTTCCCTCAATCTGGTGCTGAGCCAGCCCACTGCTTTCGCTTTCGCTGTTTGCAGGAGGTGTAGGTACATTGAATATGTAAGCCAAGGAGGCAGCCAGCATTGAATAATTTGTGTTGTTGCCCCCAGGAAGAATGATGTCTATCGCCTCAACCTTTATGTTAGGTCCTGTTAGGTCTTAGGTGCCTGCTCTTGAGACGGCGCTCGGGGTCTAAAGGCCACAGGATGTACCAATGTACCGTAGTTTGGACGACGACAAGTCACAAGGCCTGAGTCCGGCGCCGGTGATGGTGCTGGACGAGGGCTGACTGACGACGACTGATGACACAAGCCTTGTCCTTGGAGTCTTGGAGTCATGGTGTCTGCAGATACTTAATTGAAATTTAGATTAGATTTAGATGCTTGTTGCATCGTCAAGCTCTGTAGTTCAATAGCATCGCAAGTTCTCTGAAATATTAATTGAAGCTTCATGTCCTGACATCAGCGACAGATTCCGCAGACACCCGCCTGATATGAGGTAACAGGTCTGACTGACATGGGTTTGGGCCCTGCGATACTGACTTGAGTGATGAGTGATGTTTGATTCGTTGTCTTGTCACGCCTGCGCAAAAATGGCTGCTTGCTGAAACCCTTCCAATACTGCAAAGAACTTTGTCAGAGCATCTGGCAGAAAATCGTGCAGATGATAACACGGTTGCTGGTTTTTGGCAGCCTTTGTGCAATACTTGAGGCAGTGTGGTGATGTGTGATGACAGTGGTGGCCGTGGCGGCGGCGCTGACAATGGTGGTGGTCTGGTAAGTAAGACCTGGTAAGACTATTGACTATTGAAATTGACTGCTGATGATGGCCCTGATGCTGGCTGCTGGTGACTGCTGCTGCTGCTGCTGCTGCCGCTGCTGCTGCTGCTGCTGTTACTGATGCCACTGGTGACCACTGGTGTTATCTGTTTTACGCCCCGAACCGATGCTGAGAGGGTTGCTCTTGGTGCTTCTTGCGTGTGATGTTAGTTGTTAGTTGTTGTTCTTGTTGCTGGTAGTGACCCTGGTGGTGGTGGCGGTAGCGCTGGCGCTGGCGCGGGTGAGTGGAGTCATCTAGGCCGCCACTAATCACTAATCAAGTCTAGAGTCTAGTTCTAGTCTAGTCTAGCCTAGTGAGTCTAGTGTTGTTCTTGGTGTATCTCTCAGCAAGTGCTGGGTGGATCTGGCAGGGGTGATGCAGTAGTGCGTCCACAAGATGTGTGTTACCATAGCACCACTTTGAAAAGCACGCGTGAGTGTGGGTGACTGCTCATGGCCGATGTCTCCCCTCTACTCATACTTGTATGCCTGCCTAAAGTCTAAAGTCCATAGGAAACGGTCATTATTCATTATTCTTTCCGATGAAAAGGGGGCCAAAATTCAGGCAATACTATACGGACGCCAAGCTCAGGGCGTTACTATGTTACTATGTGATAGGAAAGCTGTTCTCCAGGGCCTGACTGACAGTGCTTGAAAAACCCACTGCCATGTGCATCATTTTCCTACGTAGCTTTGTGTCGGTTCCTGTGTCGGCCACCTGCCCGCTGCAAGCAGTAACTGTACCCCATGAGCCACGTATTGGAAGTAGTAGCGTCTCAGTCTTCAACAGGTCCTGCAATTTCAAGAGTTGATTCAAGAGTTTTGCCATGCAGGCCCTGCGAATCGAGTTCACCGTGATGTCGGCTTCGGAGACGAATCCTCAGTACCGAGATTTCTTTCTGGCCAATTGCCCCAGCTTCCAGCATGTGTATGAAAGCATAGAGGAGCAGGTGCAGGGTTCTGGGCCATGCATACTTTGCAAGCAAGCTGGCATGGAATGTGAAGTGGGGCGAGACGGGCTGCCACAGCCGGTGGACCTGTTGGTGACAGGGTCACCTTGTGACCCTTTCTCCCGACAACGTCCCAAGAGGTTTGTCACGGGTGATGTGCGAATGCATGCGGCTTTTGATGTGACAATGTCAGTTCTGTTGGACATGTATGCTAAGTTTTCCCCAAATGTGGGGATAATGGAACAAGTCCTTGGTTTCCTGATGCCGATGGATAGCACAACGACAGAAACTCCATACAGCAGGCCGGGTCTCTCCATGGTTTTGCAGCAGTTGTGATTGTAGTTGACAGTGCAAAATGCCGTGTCGTGTGTGCTTGGGCCTAGGGCTGGCTAGGGCTAGGGCTAGGGCTAGGGACCCAGTGTAAAGTGCAAAGGCTTGGCACAGGTTGGAAGGTCCAGGTATGTCAGGTATGTCAACAGGTGTCAGCCGCCACTGTCACATGCCAGAACATCACTTGAAGGCTTCCAGTAGCTCAGTAGCCCCGTATTGAGATTGTCTGCTTTGCCAGGTTTACCACCGATTTCCAGAAAGTGGCATTTGGCCACAGCGGCTACTTTATCGCCAAGTTCACTCTTGACACCAAGACGTGGCTGAACATCTCCAGACCAAGGTGCCTGCTGCGTTTTGTGTATTGTATGGAAGCTGCCGCCATTGCCCATGCTGGTCAGCCTCTGACTAGTGACTAGTGATTAGTTTGTCTGCGTGTGCTTCAGCCACAGAAGCGTATCCCACTTATTCAGGCTTGTTTCGAGGGTTCAAGTACTGTGGCAAATAGCTGGGCAGCCGAGCGCCTGGCCTAGACCTAGACCTAGAGTCACAGGTACAGGTCAGGATCATGAGTCTCAAGTTACAGGAACCCCAAGTCCAAGCTACAGGCTTCTCACTCCACTGACGCATGATGCTGCTGCTTTGGGCTCTGCAGAGTGCAATGATGCACACAGCTGTGCGTGTATGGGTTTTTGATACTCATGTCTCAGAAGTGTCATTAGTCTTCATTTCGCCAGGCCACTTCAGGAGTTCCCATGCTGAAGTACGTTTGCAAAGCTCACATTCT